TCCGCATAGTACACACGGACATTTGAGAAAAAAATTGAGGTCTCTAGCTCTTGTATTTTCTGAAATCGACGCGTTCAAACATACTGACAGACAGACAGACGGACGGACAGACAAACAGACAAACAGACGGACAGGTCTAAATCAACTCAGCTCGTCGCCCTGATCTAGAATATATATATACTTTGTGGGATCTGCCACGCCTCCTTCTGGCTGTTACATACATTTCAACAAAACCATTATACCCTGATTTCCCATTGAAAATGGGTTCAGGGTATAAAAAAGGTTCACAATTGCTCAGTTATATATGTATGTATGTAAATATGCATGTTTTACATAAACCCTTAAAATAATCCATGATTAAGTTTTCATTGATTGTCTTTCCAGCTAGATGTGCTTGCGAATCATACATATTAGAGAAACTAAAATAAGTATAACTATAATATATTTACATCTATGATCACTAAAATATCCTCCGCAATTGGAGATCATTTATAGATATACCTTGAATCTATTTTGCCAGAGTATTTGACGAGTATTCTCCAGTCGGTTGCGCCCGATAGCGACGCACTATCAGTTTTTGGAGTTTAACTCGCACCTATACGTATGTATGTATGTGTCTCTGTTACATATTCTACCATATGCATGGCAGCAGCTGCTTTCGGGCTGCCCCAAGCGTTGGTTCCATTGGAGCTCGACTTTTTTTTTCGCATCGGGTCTGCGAATCCACAGCCTGTGTTCGTCTTGCTCCTTCTATTTTCTGTGTGTGTGTGTGTTTTTATACCCTGAACCCATTGAAAATGAGAAATCAGGGTATATTGGTTTGGTTGAAATGTATGTAACAGGCAGAAGGAGGCGTGCCAGACCCCACAAAATATATATACTCTTGATCAGGGCGACGAGCTGAACGTTTCATTAAATTCCGTTACGTCAAAAAATAATAAAATATTTGGCCAATTAACAAACGCAACTACAAAAGATTCGTATACGTGTGCACACAAACATTCAAACTTCTTCTAGAACATTCTTTGAATCACATCAGCTGTTAGTTTGGTTTAGTTTTGCTTAATGGCGCTGCAGCAGTGAATCTATTTCAAAAAGTGAGGTGTCGTAGTGAGTAGCTGCGTGACGCTCGATCGAGAAGTCGCGGGCTCGAATCCCGAACGGTGCAACTAATGTTAGTTTTTTTTGTTTCAAAATATTTTTATATTTTATTAAATGAGTTTTGTATTTCATTTATATTTTTAAATACATCGAAATTGAAATTTTAGCCATACTAAATGGGCATTTTTATTAGTTTGGTTCAGGGTAGTATCTAGTCGAGCACTCTCGACTAGAGTTTTCTTACTTGTTTTTTTTTTTTTTTCTTTTTTGAATGCCACGCATATTAATGGCATTCCATTGATTTACTTGTGCCAACGGGGTTGGTTTTCTTCTCCTTTTTTTTTTTTTTGGCAGCTCCCAAAAATTTAAATCTTGAAATCCAGTTAAGTCTGCGTGCTATAAATTATACAGATGCTTTAAATTCTAGTGCGGTGGGCTCTGGGTATTAAATTCAGTTATTAATTTTACCTGTATGCGGTTTTATTAATATAACTTCCCCAGTCACATATAACTTGGAAAGAGCTACATACATACATATATATGTATGTAGAAATTAATTGAATCTCGTTAAGATGTGAAATGCTCTAAGACGTCGCAGTTCATTTTAATTTTTGCAGGATGTTTAGCTCCTGAGTCTTGAGCTATTGAGTAGATTTTTTAAACCGAATGAATTTGTTGTAAATAAATTATGTAAATGCTATTAGGATTTAAGAGCTGTTCGATGACAATAGTCCTTGGGGAGTCTGAGCTAAACACAGAGCTGTACTTGGCGCAAATTGCTGTCAACATGCATGCTTAGGGGCTTAGGGGCTTGGGTCAGGTCGAGTGACCCGATGAACCTGGTGTTTTGCGAGAGGTAACAAAAGCTGTGCGGACACAAAAGAAGCCTTAAAATGGATGCAAATCGCGTCGCACTCGCAAATTTGCAAATGAAGTGCGACGAATTGTAAAATGGAATTGGACTCGCAGCGCCTCTGACTGCTAATGAAATGCGATAAAGTTTCATTCAACCGTAATAATGTCAGCTTGGCTCCCCTCCTCTCTACCAAACACCAGCACCTACATAAGTCAATGGTTTGCTGTCGGACAGCCGTGAATGGTCGAATCCTTGGCGTCGATGTGACTCGATTTGATTCCCTGCCAAAAGTCCATCCATTGATCGATTTAATTCCGAGTGCTGTTTTGTCGTTTGGATTTCGATGTTCGACGCTCCGATTTGGCGTCGATTGCGCGGAAATTAGTTGACGTTCACCAAACTGTGATTCGAGCGTCGCGACGCGTCGTGCCATGAGGCTTGCAACAACACCCACAGCTAGCAACTTTGCAGCCAAAATGTGCGGCGAGGCGCGGCTGACATCTGCTACATCCGATACTGAAAAATGAAGCTTTTCGCTTATAAAATTTGATTGACTCCAGAAACTTTAAATTACATTTTTGGCCCAAAATGAATTTTGCCAACATCATTTAAATGGGTTTACTCCAAGTAGCTGTTTATTTGTGTAGTTGCTAAATGGCATGGCAAATCGAGCTAATGCCTCTATGTACATTTGTGCAACTACATACATAGATACAGTGTATCAATAATGTCTTCGTACAGTAGCAAATGGCGAAACAATATATGTACATATGTATTCTCAATTTCCGAATATGATTTCTGCTACTTTTATTAAAGTTGATTATTATAATGAAAACAAGTAAGAAAGCTATAGTCGAGATGGCTCGACTACGAGATCCCCTGAACCCTTGGAGCAATAGCTATTTCAATAATTTTTCGCGTCTTTCAGCTTACACAAGAAATACGCACACACACACACGCACACACAGGCATACATACACACACACGCATACACACACACATACACACACACGCATACCCACACAAACGCATACACACACACATACACAAACACATACACACACAAGCACCCACGCATAAACACGCATGGGCTGCAGTGTTGGCTTACTGTCAGAACTTAATTGTTTAATAACTTTTTTTGTGGACATACGATCTTCTTCACTTTCAGATTATGATAACAACATAGATATGCATGTATTTGCCAAAGCACAAGTCTCTAGTTTTTGAAATACGCTTTTTACAAAAGTGAGGGTGAGGGGGTGGATATGGTGGTGGGGGGTAAATTTTAAAAAACCGAAATTGCATAAATTGCATATTAGCATACATAAAAAATTTGGAGACTCTAGCAATAAAGGTGTAGGAGATATAATTTTATAACTGGTTTTCGATAAGGTTTTTTATCGTAAGTAAGAATCTCGTTGCGATTCATTTGTCTTTGCATTGTTTTTGAATTTCCAGCCGCTACACTGGCTTTTCTTTGCTATGTGGCGTCATAACAATAATGTGATTTCGTTTTAACTACTGTTAAACGAAACGACGCGGTGGCTCTGTAGGCTGAAGCGCCGACGATCTTTATTTTAGATATTTTCAAAATATTATTTTGACATAAACATGCTATTCAGCTTGGGTGCGAGTTCAAATCCCGCGGAAAACACTTTTTTGTAAATTGCAAATTTTTGTTATTTTAGCTTCTTTTATATTTTTTTAAATTCATAAAAATGTTTCTTTTCGTATTATGATTTCTTACGCTCCAAAAATGTGAAAATTATAGGGTATTTTTCGATGTGCCACGCCCCTGAGAAGGCGTAAAAATTATTTTTGGGTCATCGAAAGAGGAGGCTACCAGTAACTCAACTATCTAAATTTGAAGCTTCTTGCAATTATACTTTAGGAGATATAAACTTTTGCGGTTTGCCACGCCCCCTGTGGGCGGATATATATCCGAAAAAGGTTTTTGGTCTTGGGTGATCAGCCCGAGTATATATACAAAATTTGAGGTCTCTGGCATCCATAGTGTCCAAAATATAGCAGAATTTAAAAAATCACTATATCTTCAGGCCCGATTTGCCACGCCCCTAATGGGCGTAGACTTATAATTTTATAGACTAAGTTGCGACTCTCTCGACGAGAGCACTGTATGTCGCCAGCGGATGTTATGTACAGGCTTGCTTTATGGCGTGTAGAAGGCTTCGAGGTGCGCACTCTTGCTATGCTCGTATCAAGCTCGCCGGATTGTCGGGGTTCTTCTCCACCTATTCTACACTATTGCACCCTAACACACTTTAGTTATAGTGCGCTTCAGAAACTATATTTCGAGAGTGACTGTATTTGGACCAATGCGCCGACACGCAATATTAATATGGTAAACTTAACCATGACCTTGACTGACAGAGAGACAATAGGTGTTGTTCGTCCCTCGTCTCTACCCTCCCTACCTTGACAATACTATATTTTAGTTGTATCGTCCCTAATCAAGTCTTTAAGGACTATATTACACCTTGCACGATCCTGGTTCGTCGACAGACCAAAAAAAAACTTATGAATTCATATTCGTTTCCATCATTTTAATTCAGTTTTATTCAACTTTATATTTTTCTTGTTTTCTTATCATTCAATTACTTACACAGCGTTTTTATTGTTTTTATACCCTGAACCCATTTTCAAAATATTGTTTTTATATATATAATATGTTGGAACTCCCTTGGAGCAACGACACAATTTGATTCATCTAAAATAAGTGAATCAACAATTAAATGTTTATGCTCCTATGAATTCAATTGAAACTTCAATTATTAATTATTATAATTATTTTTTAACTTAAGATTAATTTAATTATTTTAAATGTAGTTTAATATTGATTAATTTATTATTAAGCTTATTAACTTCACTTGGTATCACATATCTCTCTTTTTCATCTTATTATTTATCAGCTGATCTCTCCGATAATTTATTTGTGTTCATCGATATGTGGCCCACATATGCATGTAAAGCTCACAAACATATGATTAGAGAAATGTAAATGTACACAAAGCTTACATATATTTATATATCTGCATACCGTTGTATTCCTGGGCCCAAGATGACGATAGCATGTTGATTTTAGCTGCTGGGGTTAAAACATTTTTTTTTTTTTTTTTTTTTTTTTTTTGTTTGTTTTGTTTTATAAAAACCTTTTCAGAGCAGCGCATATAGTCTGCTCTGGCTACCTTCGCTGTGTTCCTGCATTAGCGCATCAGCTGACGCAATGCTCTATCTTCCGTCGGGTCCTTACTTAACTTATGTATTTGGACAAGGCCAAGATCTAAATGAGGTTGTCCTACGTCATGGTGTAGGTTGTTTTTAGAGATCCCGATTTCTTTATTTCTGGTTGTTGTGGGTGGAGTCTCTCTTTTGGCCGTTAATGAAATCTTACGCCGTCGAGAGTTAGCTCCGTGTCTGTGAGGGTATCTTGCCTTCGTGGTAGGTTAATCTGCTGCGCAGTCAGGTCTTTTATTTTATCGCTGCGTGCCATTGACCGCACGAGTCATATAAAAAAAACCAACTACTCTTTCGCAGTCTTTGCTTTGGTGATAGCTCTAGCTATTGAGCTAAATCAAGGTGGTCACCTAAATTAATGAATAATTAGCGAATTACAAACAATAATACTTTAACGTACCTATTGCCAAATCACTAGACACTAAATAGTTTGCTGCTCGCACTATCCACGGATATAATCTTTTTGTGTAGTATAATAATTCACCCACGTTTTGCTTGCCCACGTTTTTGCGCGATCATCTATTCTTCGTCTGCTTGCGGTACAATCGTACGATCATAAATCTGTGCTTGCGGTGTAATCGTATGATCTGTATGTCTTGCGCTATGCGAATGATAAACAAAGATAGATAACAACAACGACCGTAGGGTGACTCATGACATACCGAATCATATTTTATTATTTGTTCCCACTACTCTGTGTTTATACCTATAATTCGAATTGTTATTTATTTTCGGTCACTACAAATAACATAACATTACCTGACGTGCAAAATTTCAGCATTCTAGGTTTACAACTTTAGGAGATACAGTTTTATTCGATTTGCCACGCCCCCAGTGGGCGTAGATATATCCGCTATAGCTCGTGATCTTGGGTGGTCGACGCGGACCTACATACTAGATTTCAGCTTTCTAGCTCTTTAACTAACATGATTTCTGGTATATCGGAAAAGGCATTTTCCGATTTGCCACGCCCCTAGTGGGCGGATCGGAGATATACACGAGTATGTGTTCCAAATTTCAAGTCTCTAGCTTCAATAGCGCCGAAATAGATTGCGTTCATACGGACAGACGGACGGACGGACAGCAAGACGGGCATTGCACAAAACCAATATACTGATTCACTTTCGTGAATGAGTATATTAAGTCTGCCTAAAGGCCTTCGTTGCTCTGGCTTAAAACTTATTATTTAGAGTTAATTCTTTGTAACAATACATAAATAAATAAACAAGTAAGAAGGCTCTAGTCGAGACTGCTCGACCAGGAGATACCCTGAACCCTCTAAGCTGATATTCTAATCATTCTGCACTTCTTTTATGCACACATACATACACATGTACGTATTAGAACGCAGAACGCGCTCTGCTAACTGCGCAGTAAACAGCGACTGCAGTGTGGGCAACATTATAAGAATTTATTTGTTGAATAATTTAATTTCTAGACGTACAATCTTGATGCAACTTTCAGAGCGTAATCATATGGTGAAAATGTATGTAAATTCCAAAGCACACGCTTCTAGTACTTGAAATACGCCTTTTACAAAGGTGAGGGTGAGGGGGTGGATATAGGGATAGGGGGTAAATTACAACAAAAATCGAAATTATATAAAATACATATAAGTCTACATTTAAAATTTGCAAGCTATAGCTCTAAAGGTGTAGAAGATATAAGTAAATAACTAGCTTTTTGATCGATAATAAAATATCGGGAGTAGTTATCGATATATAAAGAAAAACTCAATATGCGCGTGCTATACACGGATCTAGGAAAAAAATTTCAAGTCTCTAGCTTTTATATCTTCTGAGATCGACGCGTTCAAACATACGGACAGACGGACAGAGCTAAATCGACTCAGCTCATCGCCCTGATCAAGAATATATATACTTTATGGGGTCTGCCACGCCTCGTTCTGCCTGTTACATACATTTAACAAAACCATTATACCCTGATTTCCCATTGAAAATGGGTTCAGGGTATAAAAATAAATTAACGTTTATTTCGTCAATTATTGATGGGTTTGTGATAACTATCGTATACTTTCTATATCTGCCCACTCCAGCCACTCAGAAGCGACAGTGTTTCCGATAATTATGTTTGAGCATCACTTCAATCTATCGATTAGTTGCCATACCCACTTGAATTTTCCAATTGATCATAAATTGTCGTGCACTTTGCGGTAAAATAAGAAACACAAATTGCGGTTTAATTGTTGCGCGACATGGAGCACATGGGCTAAGACGCTGTCTGTTATACTAACTAAATTATGTGACCCTGGCACATCAGCCATCAATATAGTGGCCAACTGACATCTATTAGCTTGAGAGCCGCCATTTGCAGGTAAATATCACACATACATACATATGTAAGCATATATTTTATGCACACAAGTTTTTACATATGCTTGAAGCAATGCTAAATTGAAATCGTAGAATAGCCAGATTAAGTATAGTTTTACTCTGAAACCGGAACTAATGTAAGAATCTAAATTTAAGTAAATTTGTGTTCTATTATTATTTATTTTTCTGCTGCTCTTACGAGTATTTGGCCAGCCTGTGATAACTATTCGAGTTCAAGTTTTTCTTTTCTTTCTTTTGAATGAACATGTGAGCATCAATAAACTTTCAACAAGGCAATTCAATGCCAACTGCTAACTCATGTCTTAAAGACACTTAAATCACATGTTATTCGAGCCTCAACAACTTAAAATGCTATTGACATAAAATCCTCGCAAATGAAGTGACGTTCAGCATAAAAATTTGGCTTGGGCTAAGCTAAGAATATATGTATCTACATATGTTCATATGTAGGTATTTATATGTATGTGATTATAGAAAATGTTCCATTTCACTTAAGCTTACGTAATCTGAATAAATTCACAAGATGCACATACATACATACATATGTATATAGGCTGACTAATGTGTTGAAGTTCTTTTTGCTCCAACAACTTGGGGAAATTAGGCCCACTTGACAAAAAAGAAAAAAAGCCCAAGAGCTAATTTGTGCAACAAACTCGGTGCAATCTAGCCGAGAAATGTAAATCAAAACTTGGCCGAGTTGCTAATTAGATTAAGATTCTGCCTGTGCAGGAGGCAAAGCCCGAAAACAGTTCGAGTAGCAAAAAGCAGCGCTGTGCCGAGGAGGCATGCAACTGCCATAGGACATAGGATGCATTGCTGTTGACAATTTTGGCCAACGCTTTTCTGTTGCCGCATGCAAATTTTGACTGGGCGCCAAGAGGCAAGATAGTTCGTTCCGCTGCGAATGGAGCTGGTCCCGAGTTTGTTGCCATTGCAATGTCGGGTTGGCGCTGATACTGTTGGTGGTGGGGCTGCTGCTGCGCTTAATTATTTCCTTGGCCGACAATCAACAATCAGCATAATTCTGACACACCCATTTGGAGGGGCGTTGGACTGAATAAAAAATGAGTACCAAAAGGTTTATTGCTAATGAGTACCAAAAGGTTTATTGCTAACTCTTCTTGGCAAATCACCCTAGTTGAAGCTGGAACTGGAGTTGAAGCCCTACGAACGACTTATTTGCATTCCTTGACATTTGTAGGCGTTCGTTGAGCTGATCTTTGTTAATGATTTGACAGCTGCCATGCCTCTCGAAGGTCTCTGTATAGCACGCACAGATCGAGTTTGTTAAAAAAAAAACAAAAAAAAAAAAAAACGAAAACTGTTCCAGTTTGTTGCTGTGGATTAAAAGCTGTATGAAATATCAGATATTAAGTTGTCTCGAACACGTGCATGGAGATTCATATGTATTTAATGCAATTGGATTTTTGTTATGTATACATATTTTGGGCTCCGGCTCTAAATTTGACGAAACAATTGCAAGTATAGCTAATTGTGAATGAGTTGGCATTTTTTATAAAATGTCAAATGTTCAACAGAATATGTATATAGATAACGTTCTCAACATCGCAAAGCTCTTTTCCTAACACTAAATTATTTTCAGCCACTGCCTTAGCTGTTAGTATGTTAATATGTGTGCTCATGTGTTGTTTATAATGTATGCACGGTTCAGGAGATCTAGTTGGTCAGTCTCGATAGCGTTGAAACAATTTCACTGAGATGGATAGCAGGACGGGCATGGCGCACAACCGATATACTCGTTTCACTTAATATGCGCATACTTTAGCAATTCAATTGCTTAATACATTTTCTTGTAGTTGGGATATATTCATAATATGATAACATTAAATGCGAGCATTTGCTAAAGCGTTTTGCAAATCAGACGGTTAAATCGACTCACCTCACATTGATCAAGAATATATATACTTTATTCCTTCCACACCTACTTCTAACAGTTACATGCATATTTACAAGGCCAGTATACCTTGATTTCCCATTTTCAAAGGAATCAGGGTATAACAAGTAAGAAAGCTCTAGTCGACTGCACGACTACGAGATCCCCTGAACCCTTCGAGCAACTGATATTTCAATAATTATTCTCACATGCACACACAGACACACTTACACACAGGCATACGCACGCATAAACAAGCATGGGCAGCAGTGTGGGCTTACTACGGGAAATTAATAGTTTTCTAACTTTTCTTGAGGATGGATTATCTTCATGAAACTTTCAGATCGTGATTATCACTTGCCAAAGCATAAGTTCTAGTATTTGAAATACGCCTCTTTCAAATTTAATAAGGCTTTTAATTGATAAAAAAATATCGGGAATATTTGAAATACGCCTCTTTTAAATTTATGGGTGCGGATGAACTATAACACAACTCGAAATTCTATAAAGTACATAGTTTTAAAGATGTTTGTGATTTAATTAAATAGTTAATAGTTAGAATTTAATAAGGCTTTTAATTGATAAAAAAATATCGGGAAGAACTATCGATTTTTGGAGATAAACTCGATATCCGCGCTATATTTATAGACATTTAAAAAAATTCAAGTCTAGCTTTTTTGAGATCGACGCGTTCAAGCATACGGACACACGGACGGACAGACAGAGCTAAATTGACTCTGCTCGTCTCCCTAATCACGAATATATATACTTTTTGGAGTCTGCCACGCCTCCTTCTGCCTGTCACATACATTTCAGCAAAACCATTATACCCTGATTTCCCATTTTCAATGGGTTCAGCGTATAATAACACACAGGTATTCAGTGGAGAGAGGAGAGATAGCACATAACACTTTCTATAGGCGTTCTCTGTGCTTAAATTTCGATTAGAAAAACGTAATTTTGTGATAGTTGTCTTTAAAGAATCCTTTGCCCAAATACACACGTGTTCGTGGGTGTACAGCTGTATTGCATTGCATTTAAAACAGACCCTCAACTATCGATCTCACTTAAGCCCAATCACATGGGCCATATGCAAACCAGCAGTAAAATTTAAATATTTTGCATATAAATCAAATCGATGGGAAATTTCGGTACAAAGCCAAGTGGCAAAGCCCAATGCTCACATGAATAGTACCCAAGCGTCCCAGGTGCAACATACCCTATACCCACCCATCCGACCACACACACCCTCACCTACTCACATCCAGTCGAACTCGGTGGCTGTGACTACGTCTAACTTTGGACTGTCTCCGTCGTGCCGTATATGTGCGACTGTCACTTTCCACTTACCGTGCAAGCC